TTGCTCGACTTACAAATCGGTTGAGTTCAAAGTATTTTTTACTGACTGCATGATGCAAAGGCTGATTCGAATCGGTCCAGTCGTTTTTGCTCCTTTGCTCCCTTTCTCTGCTGCTCGGGGTCTCCTACTTTTTAAAGACACAACAATTCAAACAGGCTGTTTCCCCATGAGGTTAGTTGTGACAGGTTTGTGTCTGTAGGTCGTGTTTCAGTGATGTAGGCAGTTGGAGTGTGGTATTCAAGCGGGGGGTGGGAGGCAAAAGCAAAGCACCATGATTTTAATGAAAAAGATCAAATGCTAGTCTTGAATCCTGTCAAACACAGTAAGCTTCAGATCATATGGGAAGGCCCTTTTGTAGTGAAGCAAAAGCTTACTAGTGTTAATGAGTCATGACTTAATCGACAGATCTGAAAGTGGACTTAAAAAGTTTATCATGCCAATAGTTTACACAACCTTATGTGAGCAGAGATGAGGCAATTCTTTACTTGGAAATAAGAAGAAAGAGTAACAGAGGGGAAGAGGGAGCTGGTAATCCCTGTTATGGAATCATTCTGACATGTGAATTATGATGCAGAATTACTGTATAAACTTTTGATGTTCTGTACTCTTACACTGTTAAGTACCTTTTTGTGTTATTTTTCTATAGAAAGGCTTTTGAGAAACGTAGTAGTCTGAAGCTTGAAATGAGAAAGCAGCTTCACAGCGAACCATAAAAAGATGAGCAGAGGCAGGACCAGAGTAAGGAAGGATTGGCAGAGGCGGGACTAAAGGAAGGAAGGGAGGCTGTGAGCTAGAATGCTACAGTCAATCGGAATCAATCTGCAGCACCTGTACGATCACTGACTGTAAATTCAGCCATAATATAGGCTGAGAATCAAAACTGAATCAGTGTGATTCAGATTGCCAGTGTAGTTGCGCTCTTAGGTAATTTTTTGCACTTGGGCTGCTGGAATGTGACCATGCTGAAGAACAGGATGTAGTCATTTTGGTGCTTATATGTGCACCTGGAATTGGGGGGGAAAGCAGAAATAACATACAATGGTTGTCTGGAATGTTGTCCTATGTGTCATGGTGGTGGTGGACCTTAGCATACTCATTGTGACTGAAAAGTACACAAGTCCTGATCCTAATCACAACCTTAACTCTAATGCTGGCTCTCAATGCTTTGTAATTTCAAGGGAATTCAAAAATATCTTGCAATTTAGTAAAGTTGGGTTTTTTTTCAAAGTCTCACAAATTAGGGTTAGTTCATGGCTGCCCAGTATGAATACAAGCCAGCATAGTTAAATGAAAAATAGCAAAAGAATCTCTGTAAATTCTATATATTAATCTTTTTTCAAACTTCTCGTCACTCCTTCCCAGGGCCTGCCAAATCTGCTTTGATCTGGATTCCTACCTTGAGCAGGAAGTTTGATTTGATGGCCTTATAGGCCCCCTCCAACTCCATGATTCCACGAGGAAAAGATTGGATTGGGTTGCCATGCGATTTATTTTTAAAAGGACCAAAAACCACCCAGCATCTTTTCACTGGACCTGAAACTATGTCACTTTGGTTTCTTTTCCTCTCCAAAATGAAACCTTTAGAAGTTCCCCTTTTCTGTCCCCCACGTCCCTCAATATGCATAATATATATTAATGAGAACACTAAAACTAGTCCTCCCCTCCCCACTACCCTCGGGCTATATTTAAATTATTAAAAGGTGTGAGGAGGGCCAGTCATAAGGTTCTTGCATAATGTGTAGTTTGGCCTTCAGCCATAACAGTTACTTCATCTTGAGTGGTATAAGTAATGATCCCTAACGATGCAGACAGAGGAGGCATTAATGGAAAGAAGGGAATTAAAGCGCGATAAAGTCCTAATTGCCTAGCTGTGAAGGGGAGGAAGGGAGAGAAGCTAGAAAAAAAGAATCATGAAAATTACTGCAGAAAAGAACAGGCAACTCCTCTGCATACTTTATGTTATCTGCCCCAAATATTCTTGATAGTGCTCGTTATTTGTTTGCAAATTATTTGATAAAATTCTTAATTTTGCAGACTCGCTCCTGACATGAAAAAAGAAAGAGGATGAAAAATATATGTAAGTTTCTGCACTTTGGATTGAGAACTTGGTGACTCCTTGTTTTTTTTACAATGGATTCATCATCCAGTATTGCCTGTAACTGTTTTAAGAGATGGGCCATACATTCCAAGCTGCATGCTGAGAAGAAGCTTGAAATCAACCTGCAGGCTGCAGCTGTTTCCATCTAAGAAGCTAATCTGGCTTCTACACCATCAGCCATATGAATTGGGGACGTTAATTACAGCACATTAGTTTGGAACGACCCACAAGAACTGGATGCACAGCCTTGAAGGAGATGGTTTATCACTGAAAGCTTGCCATTGGGTTTTGTTTTATATTTGTTGTTGTTGTTTAGTCGTTTAGTCATGTCCGACTCTTTGTGACCCCATGTACCAGAGCACGCCAGGCCCTCCTGTCTTCCACTGCCTCCCGGAGATGGGTCAAATTCATGTTGGTCGCTTTGGTGACGCTGTCCAACCATCTCATCCTCTGTCGTCCCCTTCTCCTCCTCTTGCCTTCACCCTTTCCCAGGATCAGGGTCTTTTCCAGGGAGTCTTCTCTTCACATGAGATGGCCAAAGGATTGGAGCCTCAGCTTCAGGATCTCTCCTTCCAGTGAGCACTCAGGGTTGATTTCCTTCAAAATGGATAGGTTTGTTCTCTTTGCAGTCCAGGGGAGTCTCAAGAGTCTCCTCCAGCACCACAATTCAAAAGCATCAATTCTTCGGCGGTCAGCCTTCTTTATGGTCGAGCTCTCACTTTTATATTATATTTTATATTATGTTTTATATCATTCATGGTCAATTAAAGGCATTACCTGCTCCTGCATTTGTATTTTATCCAGTCTGTAACTAAAAGCAACCTGAGAGTCATCCGTTGTAAAAGTTATGAAGTAACTCACTGTATTTCTTTTCAAATGTGGCTTTATTATACTCTCATGATTAAAACAGGTCACTCGGTAGAGGAAACTGTGCCACTTGTAACTCAGTTTGACCCTTGAGAGGTTTCAGGGTAGCAGCAGACATCCACCTCAGCTAACATAGTCCAGCAACATCTGGATGGCCAGATGTCCCCTCCAACCCATCCAGAATAGTTCATTGGAGTTCACCTGCACCTACACGGACAGGCAATGATGGCCCTCCAGGTTTGCAGTTCCCATCAGTGCTAGCCACCCTAGCTATTGCTGGGGAATGATGTTAGAGTCTGACATCACATGGACGGCCATAGGTGTCCCACCCCAATATGGTTGTTAAGGGATGGAGATACAAACACAGCTCCACAGGGCCCACTGCACCAAGTAGGAGTTTGCCCCAGAACACCACAATTTAGAGGGTACTTAAAGTTAATCATGAGGTGAGTAGTAAATAAAGACCAGCACCACCTGACCTTATGAACTTTTCTTTTCTGAAACCATAAACCTATTTCTTTGTATGTGGAGGAGAGATAGCACTTTCTCCTACTCCTGCGTCCGGGAGTGGGGGGGATGCTTATGCTCATGCCTCAGGGTGAAGTAAGTGGAAGATGGTTCCTCTGACCCCTGCTGCCAGGATGGTGGTTACAGCTTTGCAGACGTGTCTAGCATCTTTGATCAGTGAGTCCAGTCTCCCCAACTTGCTGACGACTTCCACTTGTGCTGGACCACACCATCCATCCATCCATCCATCCATCCATCCATCCATCCATCCATCCATCCATCCATCCATCCATCCATCCATCCATCCATCCATCCATCCATTCATCATCTGCATCCAGTAAAGACCAGACAGCTACAGACTAGATTAGACATTTCACAGTAGCTATTTCCCAGCATTGCAGCCAAACATCCATCCATCCATCCATCCATCCAGTAAAGACCAGACAGCTGCAGGCTAGATTAGACATTTCACAGTAGTTATTTCCCAGCATTGCAACCAAATTCTGGGAATGAGCCAAAACCTCAGCCTCTCTGGCGAGCCAAGCTGTAAATACATGACTTTATGGCATCTAACCCGTTTGGCAGAAGGAATACGGCGAAATTTCCCCATTGTGTTTTTGTTTCAGTTTTGGACAAAGAACTCAATTTATTGACAGAAGATAATAAGAGCAGTTCTCCCCAGGCATTCGTTTCAGGTATGATTCAATGCAAGGAGAGGTTGTCTACCTCCATTGCATCCAGAGTTCATCGTTGTAATGAGCTTGCTTTATATATACTGTACATCTGGATCATGCACATGAAGGTGTTGATCAGTATTTTCCCATGCATGCTGCCTTGACCTCATTACAGAGAAATCAAGGAATACTACATGCCATTTGTCTGTAGCAAACAAACAAGTGTGCCCAATGTATTTTCGAAGGCTTTCACGGCCGGGATCTAATGGTTGTTATGGGTTTTTCGGGCTCTTTGGCTGTGTTCTGAAGGTTGTTCTTCCTAACGTTTCGCCAGTCTCCGTGGCCAGCATCTTCAGAGGACAGCACTGTCCTCTGAAGATGCTGGCCACAGAGACTGGCGAAACATTAGGAAGAACAACCTTCAGGACACGGCCAAAGAGCCCGAAAATAAACCAACATTAAAACCTGATGGTGCCACGAATAATAAATATTGGGAATGTCAGCATCAAAAAGTCAGTCTTTTTTGCTTTTTGTTGTTTGTTTGTTTCTGACTATGTGGTGGAATAGTTCTGGATGTATAGCGTTTATAGAAGTATTCTTGATGAATTGCTTTAATTGCTCAATTATCTCACCCATTTAAAGGGGGGAAATGTTGCAGAATACAGTAGTTAGAAACCCAGCACATGGCTTGTCCCAAAGCGCTGGCAGATCTTTGAGTAGGCTGGTGAGGAAATAGATAAGGATTTATTTTAAATGACAATAAATGGGAAGTAAAAGTGAATGTGTGAGGGGAATTTCCCTAGAGGCTAGCAAGCGTGGGTGAAGACAGACCATAAATATGGGATTCAAAGCCTCCCTTGGCACCACACACTGTCTTCCTCCAGCAATATTTGAAGCAAGAAGGCAGAACCCTCCTCAGAACTAAAAAAGAAAAGAAAAAAAGAATGAAGCCTTTTCTTGCTATCCTGTGTCTTTTCCTTTGTGCAGCTCTCATACAAGGTAACAATATTTTTTTAAATCTTTATTCTGTCCTCTTTCCATTTCCTGACACTGACAAGCAGAAGGATTCTAAAACCTTGATTTACTGACCAGTCTGGAAACATCACATTTTCGTCATGTCCCAGAATTACCTCAGCTGAGGGATTCTGGGAGCTTGCAGGTCCAAAAAAGAAATGTTTATCAGCTCTGTTGTAGATTATGTTGAAAAAAGCTGTATTTTCAAAGGAAATGGACTCTATGAATCCTTTCACCGGAGGACACAGACTTTGCTTGCTTCCTGTAGCTGTCGCTCTTTCTTGCTCCATGAAATGTCTTGTTTGGGCCAGTAGTAATTAGTGGGGAAAGAGAATTTTAATTAATGATTTCTGGACCAAGCAGCATCCTTTACACAAGACAGGCTGGGACTCAGGGGCAGTCAGTTGCTGAGCCCTGTGAAGAGGTTTCATGCTGGAACTTAAATTTGTACTTTCCCAATTAACATTTCTATTTGAGAAGGGAGTATTTGCGAAACGGCTTATGTTCCTACTGAAATTCACCCTGGGCAGGATGGTAAATGCATGTGTAACATATATATCCAATAGGGGAGTCAGCTAAATGACTCTTAGGACAGAATTCAGATCTCCAGATGTTGTCAGAGAAGGAGTTTCTCTGGCATTACATTGGCTATTAGCAAACTGGATTTGCCTTTCTGCTTAAAATGCTTGCCAAATCTGGTCCTGAATCAAACACCTAATGCAAAAAATTGGATTCTATGCTGATCGTTTTTTACATCAAATTTCACCCCTCATCAAGACTAATTATATTTATTTGAATTTATATCTCTTCTCGGGGAGAAAATAAAATATGGCACAATATTAGAAACGACTTCCTTTCCCCCATCATATACCACTACATGTACAAGTTTTCTATCGGTGTAAAAACATGCAATGTTATACATGTATACTTAAAAGTACATTTTAGCTGGTTCAGTGCAAAATTACTGCCAGGTAAATAGGATCAGGAGAGAGCCTAAGCAGACACGGATGCTAGATTTATGTGTATCAAGCTATGTGTGGTGGCACAGAAGCGGGCTAATAAAATAGGCAGTTATATTCAGTACAAGGAAGATAGCATGCTCTAGTGATTAATATGTGCCTCTAGGATTGAGAAGATCCAAATTCAAATCCTGGATTGGCCATAAAGCTCACTAGGAGACCTTGGCCAACCACAAATGACTTTGTGAATAAAGAGGACCATGTACGTCACCTGGTGTAATTGAGAGCAGTTGCCCGCTTTGGGTCCCCAGATGTTCTTGGACTGCAACTCCCAGAAGCCTTCACCACTCGCTGGGCTGGCCAGGAATTCTGGGAGTTGCAGTCCAAGAACCCCTGGGTTACCCGCGGTTGGGAACCACTGCTTTAGAGGAACAGTCTGGTAAAAAAGGAGTAAAAGAAAATGAAAAGGCATTTATTTTTTGTAAAACGAAAAGGCTTTTAAAAAGCAGTCCAGGACATTAAAAGGGATTTGTGTTTTTTTCCACTTTTTGTCTAGAAGGGTTTTGAAACCTCTCTTTGTACAGATGCCCCCCTGTTCTAGTTGAGCATCCTCAAGTAAGGTCTTTTTTGCTGTTTTGCAGGAATGCCAACCTCCAGCAGAGGGCGATGCCTCTGTCGAGGAAGACCTCTGTCAGGGGTGAACATGGGTAACGTGGCTGAACTTGAATACCATCGCCCAGGTCCCAGCTGCGATGTGGAGGAACTCATGTAGGTAGATGTTGGTTGCTGCACATGTTGGTGTGTTGCCTTTATTTGGTGGTAATGCCATGGTTTGGATGGTTGGGCTTCCTTTGGCCCTGTGTTGGTTTCGTTGCAACCAGTGGGCCACTGTCACATTTTATAATGTAGACACTCCCAGGTTTTGATATTTCCCAGAACGATGCTCCCAAGGAGAGTCCCAGATGGTGGGCATCGATACGGAGCCACCTCCACAAACTGATTCTAGCAAATTTCATCTCACTAGGAGCGGGTGTTTTGTAAATCCTATGGCTCTTAATTGCCCATACACGGCCAAGTTATTCCTAGATACTGTGTATGAGAATAGAATAATCCTGCCACATTATATTATGGGTGGGGGAAAAAATTGACTGTCCCTTCTGCTACTGTAAGAATCACAACGAAGCCCAGAGTGTGGAGAAAAGCTAGTAGGGATGGCAGATGATATCATGCTCCTTACTTTAAATTTTTTTTTTAATTTCCAGTGCTTCAGTCCTGTAAAGCCTGATCTCATGACAATGCTGGAATAGAAATGCTGAGTTCTCATGGGCAGATATGAACTCGCACAACCCTTCTGGGCCTTCATTTGGTTCACGGCACAAAAACTGATGTCAGCATATCATAAGAACATCCCAAGAAAAGAGGACATGCTTCACCCCCCCTCAAAAAAAAAACCCATAGCAAATGAGGACACAAATTCACATGAAACTGTGGCAGAGCTTTTAATTTTCTGGTTAAATTCCCCTAGCTGCAGTGCAGAAATGCAGGGATTCACAGAGCAGAATAACTTCAAGTTCTCCAAACTAGTCCACCCCTTTTTCTCATCCACTGGCGCTTACAGTCTCAAAAGCTCATGCTAAGACATTAGTAGGAGGAAGGAACAAAAAAGGTTTAATTACTTACAATTGAACAGATCAAACTGCAAACTGACAAATGTGACTGCTTTCTCAACAGACTCTAGAGAGGGGGGAAAGCACTGAACAGAGAGGAGGGCCCCCTTTGATTCGGAGGCAGGGAAGGAACAACTGGTTATTGCTGGATAGATTGACAATAAACCCTGCCCAGAAAGATCCCTCCCACCCACACCTTCTCCAGGTAGCACGCGAGGTTGAAATAAACTCCAACAAAACAACATATGCTAATTTATGTGCAGAGATGCAAAATTAGATATGACTTTGATAATTTAAACAGAATTATAGTATGACTCACCAAAGTAGGAGAGCGCGTTTGGACATTTGGACTGAACAACCCCTCAAAAAGAACATGGGAGGCTGATGAATGTGATGGGGTAGGGCAATGAATCCAAGTTTAATCTGACCTTTCAATAAACTCTCCGAGGTGTTGAAAAGTTCAGATGGAAACCCAGAGCTGTGTCCCCAGCCCCATGATACCAAAATCCACTAGCCTTTGGTGAAAGAGAGGAGAGGGTCAAAAAAGAGGACTGTTCTCTAGCAACTATTCAAAGAGAGGACCGTCCTTTTTGCAAATCAGGACGCAGGGCACCTGTCGTTCACAGGAAATAAATTGTGATCATAGTACTGAGTAAGCTGGTTTCTAATGGGTTCTCTTTTCTGTCTTGCAGAGTTTGTTTCAAAAGAAATGGGAACAGAGCATGTCTCGACCTCAATAAGCCTCAAGGGAGGGCCATAAAAGAGGTAAGGAAGGGTGAAGGTGAATAACAGAGCAGGCTGGGCGTGGAAAAGCTGAGGCTTGGTATCTTACTCCCATGCGCTGCCAGTGAGTGCACTGTGCCGTGTGCATTGCAAAAGCAAGATCATAAACCAAATATTTATCCTTTGTTTCCTCCACAGGCCATTATGCGGAAAAAGAAATGAAACCCTTTAAGCAGAGAAGGGGAACGGTGCGATAATTCAACTGGCCGTTTCATTACAGAGGTGGATGGCTAACCTTCCTCGTCAAGACTTCCTAATAAGCTTCCAAAAGGCTGAAATTCTTCTGGGGAACGTGGTTTTGAAAATGGGTTTAATAGCCAGCCTGTTTTCTTCTCAAGCTGCTAGGATTTTGAAAGGACCCTCAGCCTTTTCCTTTTTAATGTCTCTCCTTACTCTTTAGGGCAAAAGTTGGTTTCATGATAAGCAGAAATAAAAAAGAATGAGACCTCAGGGAAAATAATTCCACAATGTGAAGGCATGAAAAAATCCCATGTTTTTTTTCTTCTTTAAAAGTCTGTGAATAGAAGACAACTGGTACTTTCCATTCCTTATATTTTTAGGGTAAACATTGTCACATACCCTTGCACCTGCTTTTCTGTTTTTATAATCTGTTAGAGCTGGAGGGGAAGCCATCAAATGTTTTTCTTTGCTGCCTTCCTCAACCGGTAATCTCCAGATGTGTTGTACTCCAATACCCATCAGCCTTGGACAAAATGCTTCTAGCTGGCTGTGTATATGGGAACTGTAGTCCAACCCATCTAGAGGGAGTCAGGTTAGGGAAAGCTAATGAACTCTGGTCGTAACTGACCAGATAGACGGGATATAAATAGAATAAAAAAATTAAAAAAATCAGTATGCAAATCACTCAAATGTATGTCCATTTTACTTTACAAAATAGTCCTCAAGTAGATGTATTGCAGAATGGCTTTGCCTGAACACCAAACTAGATACGACTTTAAATGTATTTTTGCATTTGGCATTCTGGGGTATGTTGGTTGGTTGGGGGTTTTTTTTGGTTTATTTGTCTTGTTTTGTTTATTTGCATTTGAGAGGGTGGTAATTAACAGAATTAGAGCAGATATGGAGAGGGAACTTTACTTTTTCACTTACTTGTTGCAAACTTGAGCAGACCTTTTATAGCTATAATGGTGTAAATCCTTGCATCTAAAATATGTGTTTATATGTGCGTTAGGCAAGCAAGAGTAATTTCAGATTGGCCAGGCAACCTAAAAGCCTTTCAAAGATTGCAATTTAGAGTATGAACAGACCTTTACTGCTGTTACTTTGGGAGTATGCTTGTTACCTGTTCAACTTGTATAGTTGTAAATAAACATATATTTTTTACAAAATCATCCTCTGGTGTTTCCCTCTCTCTACTTCTTCCCATGGGTGAACAGCTTTTTAGTAAACCAAAGACACCCTTTAGCTAACTTATGGTAACATGGAGGTACAGAACATTCATCTGCCATTCTGAAGAGGGTGGGCTGGACTGCACTCTGCGTGTTATTCCCACATGAGTACCTGTTGCTGTCACCTGAACTCTGTGTAGTTTATTCCAGAGAATATCGTTTTTACCAGACTTCCATTCAAACTCTCTTTTTAAAAGCCTGCAAGGAACATTGGCTAGGCATACGGATCCAAAAATATTTAATCTGCTCTTGAGTTCTAATTCAAGGCAAGGCGTAGCAAAGATCTGAAATGGATAAACAAGGATGACAGTAGTTTTCTAACTGACCTTCTATAGTGTGTAGGGTGCATTGAAGTAATCTACAAAGTCAACATCTGCTGACGTGCACACAGCACACAAATCCTGTGTCCATCAAAGTAGTGGTCCTCCAAAGTGGTGTGAGCATGTTCCAACTACACCGTTTCGTGGTGATACAGCGGGAAATAGGGGCATAGTTTAGCAATTAAATGGGGAAAAACATCCAGTCAAATGGGATTCTGGTCTTGTAAGATTTAAGCAGAGCTTGGATGCTATGCATTGTAACATTACATTACCCCTGATATTTTTTGAGGCAAAAAAGAAAGGATACTGAATGTGGTGTAGTGGATACAGTGGTGGACTAGGACTCTAAAGAACAGGATTCGAATCTGTGTTCAACCACGGAAACTCAGCAGCACTGGTAAAACTACTCCTTAAATATCTCACTTACCTTGAAAGCCCTATTAGGGTTGCTCTAAGTCGTTTCCAACTTGATAGCACATAATAGCAAGAAGAAAGGGCATACAGTATCCCATGGATGTTTCTACAGTGTAATGTAAATGAACTGTGTGCAGCAAGTAACATTCATCAACACTTATTACTTCTAAAACTTAAAGATTTGGGCATGATTTGGGGCAATTGATGGTCTTTTTAAAATCTCTAAAAAAATTTGCATAAATAAATGGCACATTGCTCTTATAGCAATAAGTACCAGGTAACTTTTAAAAATAATAGTCCAGACTCTCAATTTAATGTGTAGATACAGAGGGTGCACCTAGTGAGATGCAGACCCTGGACTTATTGGTCTTTCTTGGAGAGCGGAGGCTTGGGTTTACAACAATTGAGTTTAGAACAAGAGCAGGTAAAGTGAACCATTCCAGATCAGCCCTGGCCTGGGCAGTAAAGCCAATGGAAAGCCATGTTGGGAGCTGATCTAGTAGGCAGTGCTAATACCTTCCATTAGGAAGAATGCAATTAATCTTCTCTAGGAAGCTGTGCTGTCCCTCCCAGTCAGGTGCTGGACTCCAAGTGGAGAAGAGCAAAAGACAGAATCTCTGAGCCCTTGTGCCATTGTTCATTCTCTGCGGCATTGTTCAATCATTGACATCTACACGTCAATCACATACCCTTTGGCCGGCTTGAAAGCCCTATTAGGGTTGCTCTAAGTCGTTTCCAACTTGATAGCACATAATAGCAAGAAGAAAGGGCATACAGTATCCCATGGATGTTTCTACAGTGCAATGTAAATAAACTGTGTGCAGCAAGTAACAATCATCAACACTTATTACAGTATTACAGTACTTCTAAAACTTAAAGATTTGGGCATGATTTGGGGCAATTGATGGTCTTTTTAAAATCTCTAAAAAAATTTGCATAAATAAATGGCACATTGCTCTTATAGCAATAAGTACCAGGTAACTTTTAAAAATAATAGTCCAGACTCTCAATTTAATGTGTAGATACAGAGGGTGCACCTAGTGAGATGCAGACCCTGGACTTATTGGTCTTTCTTGGAGAGCGGAGGCTTGGGTTTACAACAAGAACAGGTAAAGTGAACCCTTCCAGATCAGCCCTGGCCTGGGCAGTAAAGCCAATGGAAAGCCATGTTGGGACCTGGTCTAGTAGGCAGTGCTAACAACTTCCATTAGGAAGAATACAATTAATCTTCTCTAGGAACCTGCGCTGTCCCTCCCAGTCAGGTGCTGGACTGCAATCAGAGAGGAGCAAAAGAGAAAATCTGTGAGCCCTTGCGCCATTGTTCAATCTCTGCGGCATTGTTCAATTGTTGACATCTACATGTCAATCACATACCCTTTGGCCCGCTACCTTAAGGTAAATGTAAAGGCTCTCCTTGACATTTAGTCCAGTTGTGTCCGACTCTAGGGCGCGGTGCTCATCCCCGTTTCCAAGCCATAGAACCAGCATTTGTCCTTAGACAGTTTCCATGGTCACATGGCCAGTGCGACTTAGACACGGAACGCTGTTACCTTCCCACCGAAGTGGTCCCTATTTATCTACTTGCATTTTTACATGCTTTCGAACTACTAGGTTGGCAGGAGCTGGGACAAGCGACGGGAGCTCACTCTGTTGTGTGGATTTGATCTTACGACGGCTGGTCTTCTGACCCTGCATTACAGAGGCTTCTACGGTTTAACCCGCAGTGCTGGCTATCTTACATCTGCCTTTTTGCTCACAACGCCTCGTTTTACTCTGCAAAATAACAGCCGACCCAGACATTGATTGCACGGGAGGGGCAAAGCAAGGGTTCGCTATTGCAGAGTGGAGAATACATGGTCTACCAGATGTGGTTAGACTTCTGCTCTGGATATTGTTGGGCTGAAACTCTAGTCAGCCTTGTCAGTTGTTGAGGGATGGAATGGCCAACAGCTTCTGGAAAGCTGCACGTTCTACATTCCTGTTTGATCATTAGGGCACCCATATTCATCATCCACCTAGGAGGAAGAAATAGGTGAGAAAGGGAAATTATACTGGGTGGCCAGTAGGCTGAGGTGGATATAAACACTCACTCTGTTGTTGCACCCTCTGTCTCTCGCACAGGCACACACTTTGCTTGTCTGCTCTAGGACTGTCAGGCTTGCATCTAGTCTGTCCATGATTTCTGGTGATTAAGGGGTCATCAAGACAGAAGGGTTTTGTGTGTGTTTTGATAATATTGGTATTTTGCCTACCCTCTAGAGCTTGTCCATGATTTCTGGTGATTAAGGGGTCACCGGGGTTTTTTTGTGTGTGCTGATAATATTAGTATTTTCCCTACTACCCTCTAGAGCTGTGGTTCCCAACCTTGGGTTCCCAGATGTTCCTGGACTGCAACTGCCAGTAATCTTGGCCAGAACATCAGGAAGAGTCTTGTGAGTCTTGTGGTTAAGGCTCCTGAGAGTCTTAGCCCTAGAACATCTGGGGACCTGCGATCGGGTTCTTGTTTTAAGATAGGCAGCTCCTTCCCCTTAAGGAAAGCCATCACAGGAGACAATACAACATTGGATAACGGTTTAATATTTTTTAACAGGGCAGTGTGAACAACAGCTTCAGTAGGTCCAATGGGACTGGCGAACATAGGTGTTTCGGGCCATGTCTTGTGCAACCCCAGCATCTTAAACAAGTCTCTTAATGAGGGGCCATTCCAAATCTCTCTTGATTGGTAGGCCTTTGCGTTGGCTGGCTCCTCACCACACGAATAGTCCTGCAACAAGAGTGTCGAGCCTAGTCGCCCTTGAGATGCGTCGAGCCGTGGGAATCGGATCCGGGCGCACCAACTTCTTCCACGGACCTTTCCCTCTTTGGTTAGCATCTGTGGTCCATTCCCAAGGTTCTACCTCTCCCAGCTGTATTTCAATCCCTGCACCTTCCTTTCCCTTTGTATACTTCCTTTCCCTGTCATCTTTTGCCTCTCCCTTTCGGGGAAAGAAGAATGCATGAGGGCCTTCAGCACCTTGTGGTTGAAGGCTTGTTGACTCTCCCACTCCTCTGATCCCCAGCTCCTCTTCTCCCCCTTTATACTCCCTCACCTGATTACGTCCTTTCCTTCCTCTGCTATTGGTTCCTGGACTGCAACTGCCAGAAATCCTGGCCAGAAGACCAGGAGCCTTGTGAATCTTGTGGTGAAGGAGAATACATAAGGGCCTTCGGGACCCTGTGGTTGAAGGCTTGTTGACTCTCTCACTCGTCTGATCCCCAGCTCCTCTTTATACTCCCTCACCCGATTACGTTCTTTCCTTCCTCTGCCATGAGGAAACCCTCCGCTATTGGTTGTTCTTTTCCCACCGCTGGCTTCCCGCTCCCTTTTTCTCCCAACTTCCCGCCATCTGCTCCTCCGAACACCATGGCCTGGGCCATTGAAGGCAGTAAAGTAAAAACGGTGCTGACTCCTTCAGCCTCAGATGAGTGAGGGAGCGACTCACATCTTGGTTCAGCCATCGGCTTCGGTCCAATATGACATTTCCGTGCCATCACTTTGATATTTACGGACATTATGAACACCACAAAAGAACTCTTTTTGACTACAACTCCCAGAATCCCTCAACCAGTATAGCTGTGGTGGCTTGTTGATTCTAGGAGCTATATATCCCCCAAACCTGCATTCCTAAACTTTTGTCCCAACCTTCTGAGGGGCCTCACCCCTCACGGAAACCCCCCTGGATGTCTCCATGTGGTATCATGTCGTCTTCTGCAGCTTGGTCTTCCAAGCAGCTAGAAACAGATACTGTATGCCTAACTGCTGTTTTATTTTCCCGCAGCGCCTCTGAGGTGCTTTTCCACAATGCTCTGGGGCATCAGGAGAAATTAAAATTGCAGCCTTCAGCCAACCAAGAGTGTCCAGTCTGCTCCTGCACCTGGCAGCTGTCTATTGCAGTGGGTGGGAGGATTGTACATGGAACTAAAGGACAAGGCGTGGGGACAATTTCCCCCCAAATTAGGCAATTTCAGTGAAAATGTTATGCAATACTGGGAGGAACACGTTGTAGAAAAACTTGCCGTTTGGCAATAGCTGCTCTAAAAACTAGAATTTACCCTGTTGGCATAGGTATACCTTAATTACATTTGCTTGGTTTTCCTTGAAAAAGAGCTGATTTCCCTTCCAGAGTTGAATTTGGTTTCAGTTTCATTTGCACACCGTGGGGAATGAAGCTGTAGGCTGGCTTCTTCTCAGCTTGGCTGCTGAGAGGAAACCAACCTGCCTGTAATTTCCCTTCCTTCTTATTTAGTGAAAAGAAGAGGAAATGAAACAGATGGAACTGGCTTACTTACTGCTAAGGCTAGGTTTCACTTTTACTGTGACGTTCTGCTTGCTTGCTTGTTTGCTTGTTTGTTTGCTTGTTTATTTATTTATTTATTTGTTCAAGACACTTAAATCCAATGACCCCTGAAAATAAAATTCAGTTGCAAGAAAATGAAATGCCCGAAAAAAAAGTAACATTTAATGATTTAGTTACAAGTGAATTTTAAGATGCAAAAAGAAATATTAAAAGGGCTTAAAAACAAACCACAATGCAGGTTTGGCTTGCTCCAGCACCCCCCTACCATCCCCTTCTGTTCCACCGCCCCCACACTGCCCCTTTTCGTTCTACCACCCCCCTGGAAAATGAAATCGCCCCCTGGGGGGCATTATTGCCCATGTTAAGAACCACTGCGATTAGATGGCCGCACGGATGCATACCTGATCCTACCAGAAAGAGCATAGGATTTGAAGCAAGGTGTAAGACTCTGTTCTCTCTTTCCAACTTCCTTCTAAGTCCTCAAGTTCTGTTTTATTTTAGTTTACAAGCTCCAGCCTTTCCAGTCCATCTTGGTTGGCCAACCTCAAATTCCTCTTTTCGGATCGGGACTTGACCCCATGCTAATCACAACAGGAAGTGAAAGCCGTTCACCCTCTTTAGGATAAATCCTATGTTCCCCCCAAAAAGAGAAAGCCCCTTTCCTCTTGTTTTTTTATTGTAACCATCAGGGGATTCCCCTACAGGGGCAGTCCCACGCGGAGTGCTGCTAAGACAGTAAGGAATCTTTCCCGAGATCAGCTGCCTCTGGGGAGGGAAGCTTTATTGCATAAATATCCCCCTGCAAAACAGCATCTCTCTGACAGAGGACCACGGACTCTCTCCATCAGCACCATGAGCAGAACTTGGGCCGTCTTCCTTTCAGCCACACTCTTGCTTGCAATGGGAATACAAGGTAAGAGGCTGTAAATGGATTTTAACTGTGTTTTGAGCATTGCTTTTATTGCCAATTTTTAAACATAATCCTTGTTTCATTCTTCTTCGGTATTTGTACACTCGCAGTTTCTAGTTTTTAACTATTGCCTTTTAATCGTTGCAAGCCACCCCAGACTCTTTTAAAGAGAAAGTTAGGGTAAAAATATTTCAAATGAATAAATAAATAATCAGTGGAGACGGAGGGGATATTTTTTAAAGGTTTCTCTATTTGCACATCTACAAGGTACATAGGAGGGGGCAGAACCAAATACACCAGCCAGCTGGGCTAATCCCAGTGCAATATCTGGTTTGCTCTTGATAGGGTTTTATGGGCCATCAGGTTTCTTCAAAGTTACAGCAATCCTGTGAATAATTATTGGCCTCCAGAAGCTCCTGACATTAAACACCCTGCTCAGCTCTTGAAAACCCAAGGCTGTGGCTTCCTTTACTGAGTCTGTCCGTCCCATGTCCTTTGCCTGCAGCTTTCAGCTTTTCCAAGCATTATTGTCTTCTCCATTGTATCTTGCCTTCTCTTGATATACCCTCAGCTTCAGTCATTTTAGCTTTTAATGAGAGCTCAGGCTTGACTTCAGACCTTGAGGCAGACTACAGGGACTTAAGATCAGATTTCCCCTGTACTCACCCTGCCCCCAAGACCATGTTAGCAGCTCATTAATGAAGACAATTTGCCACAAAGACATATGGGTTTCCCATACACAAGCATCAGTTGGCAACAGAATTATGACCATTGTGTTGTTACCTCTCAGTAGCCAGTTGGCATTGTACAAATAATTTGTACTAACAATCTGAGTTTCTAGTCGCAACACATTACATTACTTGTTATGCCAAGACTATGTAGTTGCAAGTAACTCTGTTACTTGTTAGGAAGTTACTTCCAAGCTCTGATTTGCAACTGATTGGCTGTAATCTTTTAGGTTTTCAGGTAATGTTTGCGTAACAGGCCATGACAAATTTAGATGAATTGATGAGGTTAGGGGCCTGTGACCCAGCATCTCCTCAATTAACTTATTGGCCTCCAGAAGCTCCTGACATTAAAAACTCTGCTCAGCTCTTGAAAACCCAAGCCTGTGGCTTCCTTTACTGAGTCTGTCCGTCCCATGTCCTTTGCCTGCAGCTTTCAGCTTTTCCCAGCATTATTGTCTTTTCCATTGAGTCTTGCCTTCTCTTGATACACCCTCAGCTTCAGTCGTTTTAGCTTTTAGTGAGAGTCAGACAAGCGCTGGCTCTACGGCTTGAAAATGGGATGAGCACCGCCCCCTAGAGTCGGACACGACTGGACAAAAAATGTCAAGGGGAACCTTTACCTTTTATCTTTAGCCATAGGAATGCACCCAAACCTTACACAAAAATTACTAGGATTCTGGTTATTGCTTATAAGTCATATATACAGGTTATTACTTGTTGCTTACTATCAACAAATCAACGTACCCATGTAAATCCATTAATGAAGACAATTTGCCACAAAGACATATGGGTTTCCCATAAACAAGCATCAGCTGACAACAGAATTATGACCATTGCGTTGTTACTTCTCAGTAGCCAGTTTGCATTGTACAAATAAATTGTACTAACAATCTGAGTTTCCAGTTTAGTTGCAACACATTGCAGTACTTGTTGTGCCAAGACTATGTCATTGCAAGTACTGTACTGTAATTCTGTTACTTGTTAAGAAGTTACTTCCAAGCTCTGATTTGCAACTGATTGGCTGTAATCTTTTAGATTTTCAGGTAATGTCTGCGTATCAGGCCATGGCAAATTTAGATGAATTGATGAGGTGCAAGGACCTGTGACCCAGCATCTCCTCAATCAACTGCTGTTAGCCATAGGAAGGCATCCAAACATTACACAAAAATTACTGGGATTCTGGTTATTGCATATAAGTCGTATATACAGGTTATTACTTGTTGCTTACTATCAACAAGTACCCATGTAAATCTTCACAGTACAATCCTTTTAAAATTACCCTTTTTCTCAGATTTCTGTAGTCTGCAATGAATTCTTGCTTTTTTATCTGCATTCTAAAGGACTTGTGACTTCAAAAAGGGGACGCTGCCTGTGCCAGTTTAAACATCCCAATCCAGTTCCACTGAAACTTTTGGCAAATTTGGAATACCACCCCAGAAGCTCTTCCTGTGACCAAAATGAGATAATGTAAGTCCTGGCTAATAGAACGGACAAGACAGTACATTATTATCATTATCATCAACATTTCAGCAAAGACAATCATTCCAAAGAGTTTGATTACCGATTTAAACATTCAAAGATCAGTGATTGCAAACATGTCACCTTATCAGTAAATCATAATTTTTAGGCTTGATCCTTGGATCCTATCCTGCATCAGCAATCCTAAGAAACAAGAAGTGTGTTTATTATAATAACTTAATTTGTTTAACCCTTTATCAATAATTATTGTCTGTTTTACTCCATGGAGGGGATTGTCTGCTTTGGGAATCAGGGAGTGTTTCTTTGGTTAGTCTTTCAGTAATTAATGGGAAAAACTGTAATCACATGGAACTTTTTTCCCCCTCCACATTCCTCTTCCAGAGCTACGTTGAAGCCGTTTGGAGAGAAGCGATGCTTGGACCCAAAATCTAAAGCAGTGAGGAAGATGGTGGGAAAATATCAGAAAAATATGTAAGCTGCTGGAGGTTACTGTCAGAGAAAACTCATATTTCGCTAATATAATTCTGCAAAAGTAGTGGTGGTATTGTTAACTGCTGGATAGCTCAATGGCTCCGGCATCTGGCTGAGGAGCCAGAGTGGGAGTTCGATTCCCCGGTGCTGCGGGGCTGGACTTGGTGATCCATAGGGTTCCTGGCAGTTCTGCAGCTCTAAGAATATTGTTATTAACAATAGGTTGCTTGTTTGTTTAATTTTTATCCTGCCCCTCTAGGTGGCCACTACTCTGGGTGGTTTACAAAATAATAACATAAACGTAGAATAAAATTGCAAGAATAGTCTAATAGAACTTCACAGAAAGAAAGCCCAATCTCTAAAAATAAAATATCTGTTACTAAGAAAAAAGTACTGTATATAGAAAGAAATTACAATATAAAAACACAGGAGATGACAGCAAAACAAAGAAAAAATTTCCAGAGTGTGTAGGTGGTCGTAAACAAAATTAGTCCGAGGTAAAGTGGGGGATGTTAGTGGTATGGTTGTAAATTAGAGTCCTAGCCCTAAGGAAATTATGACATACTGTACAGGCCATTATGTTGATCTATAGCAACAAACCAGTTGACAAACAATTTTCATTTTCTGTGAGATCAGGTGGTTTGTAAAGCTAATGTGTCTGAATTGCCCAAGCCACCTCCTACCCCAACAATACTTTGCATTATTATAGGAATAGCTTGCAAGAATGCCTTCTTGTTGGTGAACTCAGTTTCCTTCCCCAGCTATTAGAAGGATTGAGGTTTGCCTCACAGAGGACGGGGGGGGGACCTTGAGGGGTGTGGCAGCAGATGATGCTGCTAAAAACAAATCTTTGACCCTGTAAACCATTAACTCCAATAGAAACAGAACGGTAAAATTGGCTGCAAATCAAGCCACAGCAATGCTGAATCGCTCTGATTTGGCTTGCCAGTGTAGTTTCAGTCTTAAGTTGTATAAAGCCCTCTTTCCCTGGTGTTGAGTGGTTTTCTCAAGAGATGTAGGCATTGCATTAATGGTTATTGTGGGTTTCTCCGGCTCTTTGGCTGTGTTCTGAAGGTTGTTCTTCCTAATGTTTCACCAGTCTCTGTGGCCAGCATCTCCAGAGGACAGGAGTAGTACTAATTGCATTAATTGCTTCTGCCAATGACTATAACTAAAGTATAAAGTTTATTCCATATTATTTTCACAGCAATCCTGTGAAGCAGGTCAGGCCAAGAGGGCTTTTTAAATGCTCTGAGACTGGCTGGGCAGCCTATAAGGTTTTACCAAATAACATGGCCCGTGTGGCATTTTGTGGGCAGCAGGCAATACACCAGCACATAGAGGGAGCTTTTAAAACATGCTGCAAAGTCTTCCTGCAGCAACTTGGCTTTGCTAGAGCCCCAAGGGGGTGGAGGTGGGGAGCTTTCTGGGAATCCCTCTACACCTCTTCCATTCATTGATTCCTACAGGAAACTGGCTCGGGAGAGAAGAAGAATAATGACTAGTGCTCTATTACTCCGCTAGAACGAAGGACCTCAGAGTGGGCTGCCGAGCCTGCTTCCAGATCAGGCTTCCATTCTGCAACTCTCCTGCTTCATTCAAGGAACATTTGCAAGACAGGGGAGTTTCCAGATATCCTCTGCCCTTTGTGATCCCCCTGTTTCCCCTTTTCCTATTGTTTTTTAACATTTTTTTCTTAGTTTCTGTATAGAAATGTGCTCTAATCTCACTTTCAACATCTCACCGCCCATGTCCTATGCTGTGTGCGCATGTGTAAGATTTATACTCCAATATAATCTGAATACACAGTATAATCTGGATTATACTGGATTATATGCCAGTATAATCTGAATACACAGAGCAAAACATGATGCTTATATACTGCCCCATAGCACTTAAAGGACTCTCTGGGTGGTTGACAATTTAATTATGCGGGCGACACATTCCCCCCCCCGTGAGCTAGGTACTCAATTTACTGTCCTCAGAAAGATGGAAGGCTGAGTAAACCTTGAGCCAGCTACCTGAGCACATTGGAATCAAACTCTGGTCATGCACAGAGTCTTCTTGACAGCAGTACTGCAGTTTAACCGCTGTGTACTGCATATTACAACAAATGCATAAGCTCTGACTGTACTACATGATTGTTTGTTGTTTTTCAACCAACATGGGTACTCCTTTGAAAACTGCCCATCCGAAAATCTATTATGTAAAAGAAAGATTGTATAGTTGGGTAATTTCTTTTGATTGGTAGACTAGTGGCATTTGGAAGCACTCAAGAATGTGAAAAGCTCCCTGCACAAGGGATTAAATCTTCTTGCCAACACAGTATTTGTTGGTGCTTTGAAAGGGGGAAATAAGTGTTTTCTGAATAAGGTAAGACTTCAGATTTCTTAGCAACAGTTCTTGGATTTGAGACCTACACATGTCAGCAACAGTGATACAGATCAAGTGGTCTTTGCTGCCTCCTTCAGATCACTTGAGATGCAGTTTTTATACCTTTTGGCTGAAAATATTTCATTACTGTATGAATAAATTTTAATGATTCCCAGTAATATATGTCTATTAAGATATGTTTGTTTATATATTTTAATAATGGGTTGCTAGCCAGTTCCTACCTGAACATGTTGTTATTAATTTTGCATAGCAATTAACTGTAGCTGTGCCTAAGGTTAAACTTATCTTCTGTCTCTGCAAAGAAAAGAAAAGGGGGGGAAAAGCAAAGCATATAGCTAATTACATGGTGCCTTCAAGAGTGTACAACTGTTTTAAAATGTGTATATTTGAGAAGTGTGAGCTAACAAATTATCTGTGTATGTATTCATAGAAATGAAACTCTTTATTGCCATGTCTTTCTGAAAGCAATGTAATAAAAGATGATAAAACATACCCTATGTTTGTTTTGTATTCTTTTTATTAATATGTAACTGATCTCAAGAAACACTCTTATTGCATTTAGTCTTTTTTTTTAAACTGCTGCTAACATTTTTTAAAAGCACATTGACTCTGTGCTTTTAGTTAGATATTAAAATCCTCAGATCCTGAAGTGAGGAGGAAGAGATGCCCCACTTTGGATTCCCACTACTTTTATTTCTTTGGATCAGGACATAAGAACATAAAAACATAGGAAGAGCCCTGCTAGATCAGGCCAACAGCCCATCTAGTCCAGCTCCCGGTCTCTCACCGTGGCCTCACCAGATGCGTCTGGGAGCACATGAGACAACTAGATACCTGTCTCCTGATCCCCCTCCCCTGCATCTGGCATTTGAAGGCTGTACCTTCCTTTTAAGCCAGGAGATTATGCATCATCCCCATCATGGCTTCTCAACTGTCTGTGATGGACTTTTCCTCCAGTAATCTGTCCAGTCTCCTTTTAAAGGCATCTAGGCCAGAGGCCATCACCACATCCTGTGGCAAGGAGTTCCACAGACTAACACTAGGTCAAGAAAGTTTTTTTTTAGGTCTGTTCTCACTCTCCCAACACTCAACCTGAATCAACGGCATAAATTTGTCTGGGAAGACTGGTCCAGCTTGCTTTCTGCCACCCTTGCAGGCGCCTAAGGAATTCTGCTGGGCACTATCCCGGCTCTGCCTTCTTCCTAAAGGCGCTGTCCATCTGTTTTCTCTCCTTGGCCTGCCTGGAGTTTAACCTCTCCCAAAGGGAAAAAGGCACCTTGCCCAGATCTTCTCTTCCCCCAATGAAGGCCCCTGAAATGATACACCCAGGGCCACTTTAGTGAACTTCAGGAGTAACCTCTGTTTAGGATCAGGGGCTTAACTATTTGGTTATACTGTATCTTAAATTCCCAGTCCATGTGTCACATCTGGGTCAATAGCCAGAAATGTGTGTGTGTGTGTGTGTGTGTGTGTGTGTGTGTGTGAGAGAGAGAGAGAGAGAGAGAGAGAGAGTGAGAAACAGAGCCTGTTGCTCTATTAAACACTGCAACTTTAATTTAAAAAAAAACTGGGGCTTGTGTCAGTGACTCCAACATTTGAATACTAAAAAACAGTAAGAAAAGAGCGAACGCATGTGTTAAACTAGGAAAAACACGGCCCTAGCCAACCTTGCTAGGGAATTTTGGGTATTGTAGTCCAAAATAGGAATCCCGCGATACTCTGCTCTTCTGGTTCTCCAGAAGTGGTTGAGGGGGGCAAACGGGCGCGTTTGAAGGAGTTTGTCACGTCCCAGGAACCGTAGCCGCGTGATCTAAGATGGCGGCGCCCAGAGGCCAGCCCACGCGGCTCTTCCGGTGAGGGCTAAGGGAGGCTGCCGGGAGCTCGGAGCCGGCGGGTGTCGGAGCGAGCGGTTCCCTCATGGCGGGTCGCAATAACAACAAGCTGCCCATCAACCTGCCGCAGCTGCAGAACCTGATCAAGCGGGACCCCCCCTCGTACACCGAAGAGGTGAGGAGGCAGAGCAGGCAGAGACGTCTGTATGTGGGAAGCCGTGGGTGACGGTCCCTGACTCGAGAGTAAGGGATTGGGTGGGATTGGAAAAGGAGGCCAGGCCAGGCAGGAAGAAACTAAAAATGCCTATGGTTGGACCAGCCGGCCTGTACTGGAGTTTATATTGAACGATTATTATAGGTAAGGATAAAGTAAAATAAAATACCAAGTAAAGAAAACAAAAACCTGGTGGCACCTTAAAAATGGCTATCTTTTAATGTGAGCTTTCGTGGATCCAGGTCACTTTTTCAGTCATAATAAGAGAGAGAGAGAGAGAGAGATCACGGCAACTATTAATATATTGCATTGAAGATATCTTGGTTGGTAAGAAAGTCAGTGGGTATTTGACAGTGAGTGATTCTTTGATAGACAGGTATATTCCACTGAAGCTTGTGCTATAAAGGATGTCTGGTTTATGCTAAGTATACATTGAGTGTGTATTAAATACGTTGTAGGCATCATGAACATGGTAGCTGAAAGAGTGCCTCTGAGCATAGGTAAAAATCACCGCAGTTGCTTCTGCCTCTTGCTGTGAGGAGAGGGGTCGGGAGATGAAATCCGTCAGTCATAAATAGTGACTGGCAGTCACTAACTTGAAGCTTGAAAGCTTACTTTGGATGAAAACCTCTTAGGAAAGGTAGCGTTTAGTCTAAGATAAGCCATCCTCTAACTGGC